TGCTAAAATCATTATTCACTCTAATAATTTATTGAAAGGGTTTTTTTTTTTTGGGGGGGGGTGTGTGCGGTGTGCTTTTCTACACTGATGGTGACATCCACTGCAAATAAAGGTATTTTTACTTTGCTTTCCCAATTTTTACATTGATATTTCATTTCATTGTCTGATTATACTGGCTAGACCATTTAGAACTTGAATAAAAATGGAGATAGTGGTCATTGGAACATTTTTCCAATTGTAGAAGTTTTTGTTTTATTTTTTAATCATTCTCTATTGCTCAGGCTGCATAATTGAATGCATCCATTCATATCTGCTGTATATGTGTGTGTGTGTGTGTGTGTGTGTATAAATAAATATATATATATATATATATATATATTTTAAAGTGCTGGTACTGTAGCTTAGTGGTTAAGGGAGCCAGAGAGCCAGATCCTACATGGTCAATTATGGTTTGAATACTGGCCCTGGTGGCTAGAGAAACATGCCAGATGTGTGTGTGATGCAAGCTCTAAATGCTAACAGGATGGAGGAATGCAGAAGAAATTGTGGTGTGGCCATGCTTCATTAGGGAGCGCTTTCCCTCTCTGTTTCTCTGTCTCTCCCTGATGAGCACATATGCCCTCTGGTAATTAAATAAATATGCAAAAGAAATAGAAACATTATAAAGATTTAAACATGTATGTGTTGTATTTAAACCTACAAAATATAAGAGGGGTATAGAGGAGATAGCTGGATCTCTGCCAAATATTACTCTGCTTCCAAAGAATTTTGGCTGCTAAATGACTTACCAAGTAGAGGTTATGTTTCCCAGAATGACACCTCCACCCTTGCGTTTAGGTGGGGCCTTTTTAGTAGCTCTCCAAATGCTATCAGAACAGGCTGAAGCAGCTAAGAAGCAGATGTGCTTTGTCCATGCTTTGAAGTAGACTCAGGTTCTGAATGAAGGTGGAATTATAAAATGGAAGAAACTTGAATCCTTGAATCACCCCCCTTAGAATGCTGCCCACTCTACACCTGCATTGAAATCGTTTGTCAAAGAGGAGCACATATCTATTTCTCTAAACTCCTGTGATTTGGGAATTTATCTCCTACAATACTGGGCATTACCTTAGGTAATATAGATTGATACCAGAAGTAGAATGCTGCCAAGCAATAACAGCAAACAAACCTAAGGTACATGGCGTTGGCTTAGAAGGTGAATGGTAGGCGGTGACACTAGAAAGATGGAGGACCACATTAAGCAAAGATCAAGCATTTGGTAAGTATGCTGCCTCCCATTCATGCCAAGACTGAATTCTGGGTGAGATTGGAAGGCAGAATGCTAATGGTGTGTTTGGTGCTTTCTGATTACACCTTGCAAAGTATAGAACCAAGAAGTGAGTACACAGGCTGTGTAAAAGATCAATTAAAGCATAGATTCACTCCAAATTGCACATTCCATTCATATCTTCTGGTCTCAAGGTACGGCCATAATGTTGAAGGACGAGAGGAATGGGGTGGTGAGATGCAAAAGAATATGTTAGACTTGAGAATTATAACTATTGGGAACCAGCAGTTAGTGTAATGGCTATGTCGCTGGACTCCCACGTAGTCGACCGCGGTTCGCATCCCGGACCCGGTGGCTTAAAACTCACGCCGGGTGCGTGTGCGTGCGTACCCAAGATCCCGAGAGGAGAATGGAGGAGAAGGGATTGCGGCATGACCATCCCCCCTGGGGGGTGATTTCTTGCTTTCTGTCTCTATGTCTCTCTCTGTCTGTCTGGTGAGCGCTCGCGCCCTATAGCGAAAAAAAACCTCTCCAAAAAAAAAAAAAGTCAAATTTTAAAAAAAAAGAAAAAAAAAAGAATTATAACTATTAATAACTATTATTAATATTAAAAAATTGAGTGTTTTATAGCAAAAGAAATCAACTGGAAACAAGTAGATCAGAAATTATTAATTTTTATTTTTTTAAGTTTTGCTGTAGGGTGCATGCGCTCACTGGAGAGAACAGAGAAAGAGAGGGCAAGAAAGAAATCATTCTCCTGGTAGGGATGGAGGAGAATGACCATGCTTCAATCCCTCTCCATTATCTTCTCAGGTATTTGGAGATCTAGCTGCCTTAACCTCCATACCACCTGCTGGCCCAGAAATTATGACTTTTTAAAGAATATGCACAACTTGTTTAATAATGATTTGTTGAATGAGCAGATACAGGTGTGGAAGTGTAGCTCACTTGAAAACTGAGGACAGAAGATTTCTGCATGGTTCAAAGTTAAACTTAGGGGGCCAGATGGTGGCACAGCAGTAAAATACAAAGCTCTGCCAGGCAATTCCACCTGAAAGGGTTCTCAGTTCAAGTTCAGAGACCTTCTTGAGTACACCTGGCACACATGTGCCCATGATCCAGGGCTGACTAAAGGCTAGGGATGGATTGTGGCATCAGGACCTTGCTGCGGGTGCTGTTTCTTTGTCTCTCTCTTCCTTTTTTTTTTTTTTCTGATAGGGGAAATAAACATTTCTAAAAAGTTTAACTTATAGTTTCCTATAAAATTTAATATAACTGTATGTTGACAATAAAAATTTAGTAAGTGTTGTGAGTTTGAAGGTAGCCGTACAGTTAAGATGGTAGTATAGTTAGAAACTCAAAAACGAAGCAGGTCTAGAGGCTATGACTGTAGTATTAAAGCAGTGGCTTTGCCAACGTTTTCACTGTGAGTCACAGTAAGAAATACATTTTAATGAGAACAAGCCCAATCAAATATGCACGAGATACCTATTGTGTTTTCCACTCCTTTTCTTTTCTCTTTTATCATTTCCTATTCAATATGGCACACGGTTTGAAAAACATGGATCTAGGCCTGTTATAGGAATCCTGACAGGAGGCACAAAGGATAAAGACATAGTCTTTTGCTTACTCTTTCTTTGTTTTCCTCCATAGTAACAATCTACTGATTTTGTGGAATCAACATTCTTACTTTCTGCTAAAGATAGCACAATTTATCTCTTAGAAACTTTCTCATTCTTTGTCTCTGTCATTAAGATTTAGGTGAATTAACTGCCTGCCTCTCCTATTTTCCTACCATTTTATAATTCTGCCACTTTTGGGGGGAAACATGTTATCCAAGCAGCATAGACCATCTCTGACCACAAGGACTGTGTCAGTAGGAGGGACGAACCTAAGCAAGACCAAGGTGCTCTTTTGCCAAAAATACATTCTTGTTTTGCCAGTCTGGAAGCTAATGAGGATGAGACTCTCGATTCCAGAAGTCATGATGTGAAGAGAGCTTTCCAGAAGGAAAGCTACTAAGAGAAAAAGTGTCCAAGTCCTACAAAGCAGTTGTAATCCTGGGTCCAGTCATGTTTCCTGATCCACCATTAAGTTTTCCTTTCAAAATTCTAGTGTAAGTTGAACTACCCTTCAGATGATATGTAGTATGTGTAATGACTTTAATTTTATTAAAAAGTTACAGTTTCAGACTTCTTCAGTAGTCTCAATTTATGAACAGGCAGAGCAAACAAAACCAGAAATCATTACATAGTCACTTGTCTTTTAAAGGATACAAGTAGCTAAATTTTTTTATGAGAAAATTAAGTATGTTGAACATCTCCATGTCATTATATTGCTTCTTAATCTTTTTCTGTATGTTCACATATTTGTACTTCTGCTATTCTGAGAGTACCAACTCCATTTATTAAGAAACATATATTCAGAAAAATACATATTATTTACATTAGGATTTTTACTGAAATATACCATCAAGGAAACCAAAGTTCTTTCCACCTTCTATTTAGTTATTTTCCTCAACTAGTGTATAGAGATATCACATAAGATTATAGATTTATTTAAAGCTGTTCATAGAAGATACATTTTGAAGTACAATAAAATTTTAACATATGTAACTCTTTTTTTCAGTTATACTCAGTATTTAATTTTAAATGTATATTTTATTGATTTGGAAAAAAATAATGCAAAGAATTAAGTGTATTCAATACTATAACACAAAAAAAATTCATAAATGAAAAGTTTAAGTTACAGCTTTACATTAGAGTGGAAAAATATGTAAGATATGTGATACTGCACATGCCTATATCATTCTCTGATTGGTCGATGCCAGAATATACAAAAATAAGTTTGTGCCTAATTACAATTTATCTCTATCAGATGTCCAGTGACATTCTTTTGTTAGTATTTGCCAAATATGTTATGCAAAACTCTAGACTGCAGTTATCCATATTCAAATTACTCCTTAAAAGTGAAGACAATAGTTCTCTATGGCAGAATTAAAACAGAGTGAGGTATGATAATATACCGGTGTCTCTAGGAAATCCTTATCAATCTCACTTAGATAGATTCGTCCAAGATAGGAGGTCTGGATTTAGCAGGCAGAGTGAGTCACTTAGGCAATATTTGTTTGAGAAAATGATTGACTCGGAATCTTGTGCTTTCATGGTATTAGCATTTATTATGGCTTGCAGATGCTTTTAAGGATCCTATCTTAAAATACCTGATGATGAAAAGAGTAAAATAACTCATTTTCCCTGTGTTTTAAATTTCAACCTATGTACATTTATAGTTGTGGCCATGGGAAAATTGGTTTCATCTCGATAGCTATACACAGAAGAGTAAGTAAGTTACAGACATTAGAATAACAAAAATGTAGACATTTTAAACATTGATACAAATCAACAGACAAGTAATATAAAGATAACCTCATTGCATTACATTTTTTTCTTAATGAATATATTTTAAATATAAAATTTTAGGAGCACTGTCTTTTGTTGTTGTTGTAAGTGTTAAAAATTTTATTCCTGAGCTTTTTAGAGTCATTTAAAGTTTAAAAGTAAGCAAAGAGGAAAGAAATGCTTTTCTAGGGGGCAGTAGTTAGCATGGTGGTTGGGGGCGCTAGACTCCCACGTGGACAATCACAGTTCAAGCCCCAAACCTGGCGGCTTGAAAATCTTGCTTGGCTCATGTGTGTTCATGCTCAAAATCTCAAGAGAATGTAGGAGAAGGGATTGAGAAATGGATGTTCCCGAAGCGGGGGGGGGGGGGGGATTTCTTCATTTCCCTCTCTATCCCTCTGCAGCATATGCCCTTGCTCTGTGGCAAAACCTAACAAAAAGGAAAATGCTTTTCTGAGACAGGTGGTTGCACTGTGAACCAACAACAGTCTGTCTATTACTTTCTGTAATTTTTCTATACATAAGATTTTTCATTCGAGATATATTCACACTATAATTTATTCCTTAACTACTGTCCCTCAAATATGCCATATCTTTAAAGAGTTGAAATATTCAGCTAAAAGATATTTAATTAAAAGTGATTACTAAACATTTGACACTGTTAACTAGACACTGTTTAAAATCCAAACAAAGACAGAGGTTATTTTTTTTACATTTGATTTGATTTAAATAACAATTCAAGTATCTCCTTTAATATGATGTTCTGAAAAATATTAATATTTATTAATCACAGGTATAAATACATTTTCTGAAAAGCAGAATATTCCTTTGATATCCTTTGTTTTAATCAATACTTAGAAGGTAAAGGTTACAACCTATCTTTGGTCCACCCCATATTTTTGATAGCTCATGTTTTTCTATCCATGTACTTTAACAAATTATGTAAGAAAGCTTCAATTGCTAACGTTTCATTTAAAACGCTATGTTCAATGAAGAAATGATCTGCGTGTAAGCTATTTCTGCTTATTTTCAGTTATGGCAGATAAAGGTGCTCATTGAGTTTTTCCATGAAATGGAGTTGTATCATAGTCTTGAAAATGAATTCCCTTCGAAGTTGTAATCTTCATAATAGCACCATTTAAAGCATCATCTTCAATGAGTGTTATTAATCCATTGGCAATCATCGATGGGCTAAAAGTAAAGGAAACATTACTATTTTTAAACTAAAAATGAGGCATATGATGACTTCATTTAACATTATTTTCTGGGGTCTGACCGATGGCGTAATGGTTATGACCCTGGACTCCCACATAGTCAACCATAGTTCAAGTCCCAGACCTGGCAGCTTAAAATTCATGTCAGGTGCATGTGCGTGTGTGCCCAAGATCTCAAGAGGAGAATGGAGGAGAAAGAATTGCAGCATAGCCGCTTCCCTGGGAGAGGATTTCTTGCTTTCTGTCTCTCTGGTGAGCACACGTGCCCTATAGCAAAACTCTCTCTTAGAAAAGTTATTTTCTGTAAAATCTATTATCTTGAACATTTAATAACCAAAATGAATGCTATTAAAATCCTACCACCATTTTTATTCAATTAGATAAATTATGTAATTAATTTAGTGGTAGATTTTTGTGCCTAACCTCTGTTACTTTGACAGAAAGGATTTATATTCATGGTTAACAGGATTTATATTCATGGTTAACATTTAGAAAATGATAATTTCCGTATCTTTATCACATTCATAGTTAGTAAACTTACCAGTTAGGAATGTTATCAGAGTAGAAACATGATGCATTGCAACATTTATTAAATATCTCATTTTAAAAAGAGAATTATTTATTTATTTAATTCCACTTGTTACTATTTTTAAATTTTACCTGACAGAGATAGAAAGAGACTGAAAGACAAAGTGAGAAAGCAAGCCACCAGGTCCAGGACTTGAACCATGGTTGGCCATGTGGAATCCAGTGCCTTTAACTACCACACCACTTGCTGGTCCGAACATCTCATTTTTTAACAGTTTCTGTTTTAAATACCTTCTATTTATCATCTTATGCCTTTCAAAATTTTCTAAGTTTGTTTTAGGATTATTTCCATTTTACATGTGAGAAAACTGAAGCATATAGAGATTTGTTGGGTTAGTTTATGTATTGGTGGAGTCAAGATTTGATTTCAGGCCTGATTCCGCCACATGATAGCTACAATTCTGTACTGTGCAACTTCTAACTGCTCTAACTCAGACACAATTCACTGGTGTGTGTGTGTGTGAGTGTGTGTGTGTGTGTGTGTTCGTAGAGTACTACAAGTTATTTCTTCTGAACATGGTTGAAGTTATGGGACTAACATTTCACAAAGGATATGTTTCAATATTGCTGGAATATAGGCATATAAAGTATCATTGCTTTAAAAAGTGACCAAATATTATCTCTTTAAAAATTCAATTATAGGGCCAGCAGATGGGTAGCAGTTACTTCGCTGGACTCCCACATTGTCAACTGCACTTTGAGTCCTGGACCCAGTAGCTTGAAATTCACACTGGATGCATGTGCATGTGCTCAAGATCTCAGGAGAAGAATGGAGGAAAAGGGGTTGCAGTGTGGCCATTTCTTCAGGGATCGATTTCTATTTCCCTATCACTGTCTGTCTCTCCCCACTGTGAGCACATATACCCTAAGGCAAAGACCTCTACCTCCCCCCCACAAAAAAATCCAATTATAGTAAAATATAGGAATGAGGCATTGTCTATATTTCAAAGCAAACTTCATAATGTATAGACACATTATATTCAGAAATCCATAAAAATAATATTTTCTAGGTTTTACCACACCAAAACTTTGAAGCTTGCACTAGTTTCTCCAAGATATAAGCTTATTTTTTAAAAAATTTTCATTGCTTGTCCAGCTAATACTCCTTCATAGAAGAAAGATTTAGTTTTACTTACTCTAAAATTCCATAGAATTTCATCATATCCTTGATAGGACCTGTATATTCTATATATTGTCCCATGTTTTCTTCTTTTTCAATTGATTTAAGGATGGGTGTGTTAACAAAGCCTGGGCAAATGGCATTCATTCTCACACCACTGTTCATAAGATTAGCAGCCATCTGTCAGTAAGAAGAAGTTTGCAGATTTTAGCAGATTGCAAATGCATAGCAAAGGACAAATAGATGATTAAATCTATTTAGAATCTGATGTAAAAAACACTAGTCAGTTATCTTCCCAACTATATAACATTTATTGATAAGCAGAAGATACTAAAGAACACATACCAGAAATGCTGAATTAATTCTTGAAATTCTCACCTAATTAAGTTTTTAAAAATCAGTATTATCAGGGGACCAGCAGTTGGCATAATGACTATGTCACTGGACTCCCGTGTAGTCAAATGGAGTTTGAGTCCCGGACCCAATGGCCTAAACTCGTGCCGGGCGCATGTGTGTGTGTGTCCCCAAGATCCTGAGAGGAGAATGGAGAAGAAGGGATTGCGGCATGGCCATCCCCCCTGGGGGATGTGATGTTTTGCTTTGTGTCTCTCTGTCTCTCTCTGTCTTTCTGGTGAGCGCACATGCCCTATAGCAAAAAACCTCTAAAAATATCAGTATTATTAGATAATGATACTGATTAGACAACTTCTGGAAATACATAATGACCTAAACTGTTTCTATCTACTGAACTTCACAGGAATCTGAAAGTTCAGTTGAGGTTTAAAACTGATAGCCCGAGTTTTCTTTCAAAGACTGTGGTCGTATTATTGTTAGGCTGGAGGCTTGGTCAGCTTGGATATAGGGGTTGGATGCCACACCACAGTTGGATGATGCAACCAGGATCTAGTTTATCATCAGACCTGTGCTGCACTTGGATCTAATCCAGATGTAGCACACGGCGCTCTACTCTGCACACAGCATCAGATCCTACGTGGCACAGTAGTCTGCTCTCCCACTATACCATTACCATACATGGACTGTTTCTACCTCTAAAACACTCCTTCTCCCTACACCCTTTTAAAAATCACTAAACCCCTCCCTAGGGCATGAATTCTCTGGCCCTCTTTCTCTCTCTCTCTGTCGGGCATGCAAACCTCGCCCGGGAGTGTTCCCAATAAAGGCTCTACATTTCTATTTCCTTGCGTGGTCAGTCTATTCCTTACGGTAACAGAGAATATTTTATTTAAAAATACTTTTAATAGAAAATTTTAGGACTTTGGTTCTAAAGATACTTTTAATAATCTGCATTACTTGGAAGAAAATTTAAGTATTTTCAGACTAACATTCTTTGACATACTTTTCAACCTATTTATTTTATTTGAAAACTAAATACAGTTGATCCTCATTATCCATGGATTCCTTATGTGCAAATTTGCTTACTTGCTAAAATATATTTGTAATCCCAGAAACCAATGCTAGTCAAGCTTTTGTAGTCATCTGCAGACATCTGCTGAGCAGTGAGAAATCTGACTCACTCATGTGTATGTTCTTGCAGAGGCTGAACAAGACTACACTCTGCCTTGCCATGTGTTTCTCATTTTTGTGCTTTCAGGATTTCGCTCTTTAAAATGGCTCCCAAGCATAGTACAGAAGCACTGTGTCATGTTCTGAAGCGTAAGAAAGCTATGATGTGCCTTAGGGAAGACATGTGTGTTAAATAAGCTTCCTTTAGGCCTGGGTTATAAGCACTGTTAGCTGTAAGTATAGTGTTCATCCAGCATATAGTAAGTAAGGTATCTTAAACAGAAATAGACACAAAACAGGTTATAAAATGAGTGGTTGATCAAAATATTGGGACTAGAAGCTTTCGGGAACTTTACTCTGTATTTTTCCTAGGAACAATGATTCAGTAGTCAGTAATTAGTGGTTACAAACAACTTAATAAAACATTATAAATGTGTTTTCTGGTCTTTAAGATTTACCTCGCAGGACCAGCAGTTAGTGTGATGGCTATGTCACTAGACTCCCATGTAGTTGATTGCTGTTCGAATCCCAGACCTGGTGGCTTAAACTCACGCTGGGCGCCTGTGCGTGCATGCCCAAGATCCCAAGAGGAGAATGGAGGAGAAGGGATTGTGGCATGGCCACAATCACCCCCGGGGGGGTGATTTCTCACTTTCTGTCTCTCTGTCTCTCTCTGGCTTTCTGGCGAGCGCACATGCCCTATAGCAAAAAAAAAAAAAAAACTCTACAAAAAGAAAAAAGAAAAGATTTACTTCTCTTTGTAACAGATTTATAAAAAAGTTGATAAAAAAAAGTGTTCATAAAAAGTTGAATTGAAAATTAAGGTTTTGCAAATTAAATAATTTACAATCGCTTTGAGAGTTTTCAAGAACTGCATATCTTGCCTTTTAACTGAACACTAAACATCCACACATCTGCTTTTTCTGTTCTCTAGTATCTTCTGTTAATATTTTTCTCTTCAGTATCTTCTGTTAATATTTTTCTCTTCATCTCTCTGGTTTCCCCTCTCTGTCTCACCTAAATGAACTACCCAGACACCTCCCAACTGTTCTTTCCTTTTCCACACTTGTCCTTTGTGATATATTTTCCAAATAGCAGACTGAACGGTCTTTTTAAAACGGAAATCTGATTTTATCATTCCTGTGCATAAAAGACCCATTTATGTCTCCATTTAGAATAAAATCTAAACTCACAATCTGAGGCCCATATGCCCCTTTTGTTCTGGCTCCCACTTGTATCTCCAGTCATACCTCTTCCTAGAAATCCCTAGAAATTCCCTTCCTTGCCAGGCTCCATTGAACCTGCTCTTTTGTCAGTTACGGTAGAAAGGCAAGCATTCTTATCTCATGCTATCAGTGCACATGATAAATTAGGTCTCAAGTCTATATACTTTCCACCGTAGGCCTTCAAAGAGATACAGTCCTTGACTAGGCCTTCCAGAGCCACACTCTCACTGTTTTTCTCTTATCTCTGGTGACAAGTAAGTTTGGAGCCTACTGCTCCTTCTGTTTAGGGGAGTTTGATGTCAAACACGTTTAAAATTGGAGTCAATTTTAAAAATAAAAAGTGTTTCCTCATCCTCCTTATCTATCCTTAGGATATTTTTCAATAACGGCCTGTGTTTAGAAACTCTAATTTTGAAATGATCTATTTATTTAGTCCTTTTTCTGATCTGAAGACTACCTTTTATAATAAAGTTGGAAGAATAATTTAGGTTTTCTATCTTTATCAGTATGTATGGCATTCTGAATTTACTCTCTTCTAGTTTACAGTGCTCACGTTTCCATGTGTCCCCAGAGAGAAAAAGATATTGTGGTTGTTATATCCTCACCGCTGCTGAGCGTGTGAATCCGATAATGCCATGCTTTGAAGCACAGTAAACGGGCTGTTGTGCAACTGGCATGAGTCCTGAAATGAAAAAATAAAATGTTTTTAGAAAATCATTAAAAAATAAATGGACTATACTCAATCATGAGTATGCAAATGATTACTATGTGGCTGTTTCAATTTGCAATTAATCTGGAAAGTTTACTAAAATAAAGCTGGACAACTCTGTAAAAACAGCCTCAGCATAGCTTATTTTCACCAAACCTGCACTGCCTAGAACTTATGGTGAGTAAGTCGCATATATGATATACGACTTTCTGCTTCTCTACCTTTTTTTTTGGGGGGGGGGGAGAGGTTTTTGCTATAGGGTGTGTGCGTTTGCCAGACAGACAGAGAGAGACAGAGGGACAGAAAGCCAGAAATCACTCCCCAGGGGGAATGGCCACGTGGCAATCCCTCCTCCTCCATTCTCCTCTCGGTATCTTGGGCATGCATGCACACGTGCCTGGCGTGAGTTTAAGCCACTGGGTCTGAGACTCGAACTACAGTCGACTACATGGGAGTCCAGAGACATAGCCATTACACCAACTGCTGGTCCCTGTTTCTTTACCTTTTTAAAAAGTCATTGGAAGTCAATGTTACATAAAACACAAAGAAAATTATCTTTAAAACCAGTAAGTTAGGGGCCAGTATGTGGCATGGTGGTTAAGGCGCTGAACTCCTACATGGCGAGCCATGGTTTGAGTCCTGGATCTGACAGTTTGCTTTCTCATTTTCCCTTCCCCTCTCTCTTTCTGTCTCTCCCTTGTCAAATTAAAAAATAATATAATACAAGACCAGCAAATGGCATAATGGTTATGTCACTAGACTCCCATATAGTTGAACGTGGTTCAAGTTCCAGAACCAGTGGCTTAAAACTCACACTGGGTACATGTGTGTGCGTGCCCAAGATCCCAAGAAGAGAATGGAAGAGAAGGGATTGTGGCATGGCCATCTCCCCAGGGGGTGATTTCTGTCTCTCTCTCTCTCTTTCTGGCTCAAGTGCACACGCCCTATAGAAAAATCTCTCTAAAAATAAATAAATAATTATATAAATAATTTTTTTCCCCAGTAAGTTGCCAGTACAAGCTGGCAGCATAGTGGTTAAGGTTCTGGACTTCCACATGGCCAATCATGATTCCAGTCCCAGATCAGGTGGCTTGGGAATCACACCAGGTGCCCAATATCCCAGGAATGGAATGGAGGAGAAGGGATCACATCATCCCTCTTGCAGGGTGATTTCTCACTTTTACTCTCTCTCTCTCTCTCTCTCTGCTGAGTGCACACACCCTAAGCAAAGAAAGATCTAAAAATAAAAGTTTAGTTATTTCTACCATGAGAGAGAGATAGAAAGGCACCCTCAACAGGGTCTTCATGTTGCAATCAACCATCAGCTTTAGCCAGTCAGAGTCATGGGCATGCAGGCATGCACCCACTGAGTACAGGAGAACCTCAGAACATAGCCCTTCCCATTTGACTTCAGTATCCTGGAGCATGGTGTCAGTGTGGTATCAACCATGGCTGCTTCTAAAATGTTATTCTTAATGAACAAATAATAATGTGCACATTTTTCTAGTACAATGTGATATTTTGACTATGTTTACATTCATTGAAGAAAGATTCAATCAAGTTAATTACCATATCAAACAAATTTTGGGGGGTGAGAGATTTTTGCTGTAAAGAGCGTGTCCTCACTGGAGAGCAGAGAGAGACAGGGAAACAGAAAGCGAGAAATCACCCCCCAGGGGGTATGGTCAAGTCTCAATCCTTTACCTTCCATTGTCCTCTAGGGATTTTGGGCACACATGCACACGCGCCCGGCCTGAGGTTTAAACCACCGAGTCTGGGACTCGGACAGTAGTCAACTACATGTGAGTCCAGTGACCTAACCATTATACCACCTGCTGCTCTCCCAACATATCAAATTTAACTTGTCAATTAGATATTTTGGTTTTTAACTAATTTTTTGGATTAACTTATTTTAATGCTTCTTTTTAAAATATTTGATGTCTGAGTTAAGAAAAAGTGACCCCTGATTACTATAATGTTATTAAAATTCAAGTGTCATGCTAATAATACTAAACTATTCTGCTGACACATACTCATCTCCACCCAGTTAACTATTCCCAGAATGCCATCAATCAATTGAGAATATTGAGCCAAAGTTCAGCAATAAATGCAGCCCTTAACCATTCCCTAGGGGCCTGTCAAATTTCAATTTATAAAGTATGTTTGCTCTGGAGCAGTTTAAATCCCTGAGGATGGAAGATCACATGCAGTGAATCTACCCAGTCATCTCAAAGTACTACAACATGTTCCTTCTCTCATTGTTATTGTTTTGCTTCAATAACATGTGTAAGTTAATTAAGTTTGTCTATGTCAGTCAACAAGAATTTATGATGTCTTCACAGGGTACATCAGTAATTAGGAGTATGAGTTAAAGGCAATAAACAGGTGTAGCCAGACATAGCTGTTTGTTTTTCTTGCAAGTTAGCCAATGCTTTACCCCTTCCTTAAAAATTCAGGAGACAAAGGCAATAGTGGTAGGAAGGTTTTCACATACTGCAGAAAATGCAGCATGAGCCTTACAGAGAGAAGGTAGTTGACACAACACAGAAGCACAAAAGCATCGTTCATAAATAATGTCAAAGATGAACTTGGAATGAATTTTTGTTACATAAGCACAGATAATGAATTTCTGAACTCAAGCTACTTCAAGGTGTCACAGAAGTGAAATACATAAAATACTGTTTTGTTGGTTCTAGTAACAAGTAAGCACAAATATATACGTTCCTTTAAAGGTAGAATTATACATATAGCCAGCATGTAGAGAACTGGTTTGCATTTTTAAAATGACACTTGGTTTTATGACTCTTATAACATTGTAATGACATTTTCACTATTGTCGTGCAAAATGTTTACCCTTGGATTGCTTTAACTTTCTAATATTAGATCAAAGTCTTCATAAATCAATTTCAGACATTTAGAAACTAAGCTTCCTTTTTAATTTTTTTAAGTTTTATTGTAGCATAATTGACATACAATAAAACCGCACATATTTAAAATATAGAATGTGACTAGTTTTGACATATGTATACATCAATGAAACCATGACCATGGTCAAGGTCATGAGCACAAACACCAACCTCAAAGTTCCCTTATGCCCCTGGGTAAGTCCTGTCTTTCTGCCCATTCCCTACTACCCCCACACAACTACTGCTCTGCTTTGTGTCAAACTAGTTTGCATTTTTTAGAATTTGTAAAAATATAACTCTATACTATAAATTCTGTTTTCTCTAGAAGGGATTGTGGCATGGCCATTCCCCTGGAGAGCGATTTCTTACTTTCCGTCTCATTGTCTCTGTTTCTCTCCCTGGAGAGTGTACGTGACCTAGAGCACAAAACCTCTAAACAAATAAGCTTTTTTTTTCCTTGAACAGTATCCCTCTGTAAGGATATACCATTAATTGTATATACTACATGCTCCCTGTAGTAGACATTCTGGTGTTTCCAATTGAGGATATTTTTCTAATTATTGCATGTTGTAGTCCAGTTGCTAATTTAGTTAAACAGAAGGTTTTCATTTATCTACCCCATACAGGTAGATTTTAAGTGTTGCTCATGTTTTAAACAGGTAAGGTCAGGTTAGTCATCTGAGGAGCTTTCTCATCTACTGATTCTCAATGTAGAATATATACCTTGGTTTGCTGCTTTGAAAATGGAGGCTAAATGGAGGGAGGAAAGTCTTTTTTTTTCTTTTTTTCTTTTCAACAATGATTTTATTTAGGAGGGGAAATTTTTCAGAAATCCAACATTTTCTGTTGGATTTCAAGATCCATTTTTCCTTCCTGAGTATACTATTGTTGGTGTTGTGGTTTAGCTTCAGAATTGGTTAACCACACTTCTACCTACTAGAGATCCACAACACCAACATAATGTTGTTTCTATGAAATTGTTTTTCTTATTTTATTTTATTTTATTATAAATAAAGTATGAATTTATTTTAGTACAAAAACTTTTTGAAATTCATACATAATTTTTCAATTACTTGTATTTCCATGAGCTTTTTTGTTTGGAAACTTTTTTTTTTAGAGGTTTTTGCTACAGGGCTCATGCACTCTCCAGAGAGACAGAGAGACACAGAGAGACAGAAAGCAAGAAATCACCCCCCAGGAGAGATGGCCACACCGCAATCCCTTCTCTTTCCTTCTCCTCTCATGATCTTGTGCATGCATGCACACATGCCCTGTGTGAGTTTAAGCCACCCGGTCTAGGACTTGAACTGCAGTCGACTACATGGGAGTTCAACGACATAGCCATTATGCTAACTGCTGGTCCCAAAACTTTTTTTAGTTAAGGCTATAGGACAAGTACACTCACCAGAGAGACAGAGAGAGACAGAGAAACAGAAATTGAGAAATCACCCCCCAGGGAGAATGGCCACACCGCAATCCCTTCTCCTCCTTTCTCCTCTCGGGATCTTGGAAATGCATGCACACACGCCCAGCGTGAGTTTAAGCCACTGGGTCCAGGACCTGAACTGCAGTCGAATACATGGGAGTCTAACGACATAGCCATCACGCTAACTGCTGGCTCCTGTACCCCTATTTCTGACCCTCTGCCACTTCCCACCCTCCTCACACACTATCTCTGGTGTCTACAGTTGTTTTCCATTCCTTTTCCCCCCACATTTTATGATCAAAAAAATTTCTTAAATAATCTAACTACTTTCAATAGCAAGTTCATCTGGTATGTACGTATCTGTGAATACATGTCTGACTTTAGGCGTGAAACTCTGAGTGGAATGAATATACTACAAGGTACTGCCTAGCTGATGCTATATTGCTTACTATGGTCATTAAATAGGTATTTTTAAAAATATTTTTTAATTTCAAGAAAAGCAGTTTTGAACTGGTAAGGATATTTCTTTGAAACTTAAAGCCTAGAAACAGGTTAGTATTCTGTTCAAATAGTAGGTACATGAACCTATCTACAGCACAAGACAGGACAAAAATTGTTGTTTCTAATATTAGTAAAAATTG